GTCATCACCATCCCCTACACATAAGAAACACATCATTGCATTTCTATGCCAGTTGGAGCTGCTGCTAGCTGCTTTTTCCAGACGTGACCTGAAAAACACTGCATAGGGGCAGCCTAGTATGGCTGGTACAGGGGGGTGCATACCCCTTTTAGCCACTTTGTTCCTCCTAATGGCTTGTTCTCCCCTCTCTCACACCCCAGAGATGGAACTGGTGTTAGAAACCAACCAAAAAAACTAAGATTTGGGGCCCAGATTTCATAGTAACAGATGTGCAGAATAAAATTAAATCCATGTTCTGGACTTTAAATACATTATTTTTAAAATCTTTCTATCTCCCCCTAGTGGCCCCAATAGCTTCTTAGAAGCAATATAATAAGCAGAATCCTATTGATCTCCAGATGTTCCCACTTCCTGAGAAAAAAGCAGTCATTGGCCTGCCTTCATCCTAATTTGGGGGCTTCACAAAGAAGGAAGAACAAACCTAACCAAAATACCCATACCTTCATAAATCAGAAAAGTCTTAAAATGTTACAGAAAACATTTGCCAGAACCAGGTGTTCAAGCTACACAGATCTTCAAAAGGACTTTCCCAGAAATCTGAATGAAATTAAAATATCACTTCTAGGAAGCCTTATTTGGACACTAAAGACAGCATTGCTAAAAGCAGGCTACCACCGTGGCTGCCCTCATTTTTAACTTCTTGGAACTCCTCGGTCTGATCAGCTATCATTTCAGATAAATGCAAAAGTCATTTTGCACTATACCGGGAATAGAATTGATATGCATGTTTTTAGAAATTATTTTATAGATCTTCCCCCACCAACACTAAAACCTGATAACAGAATTAGCTCTGACAAATACAATATAGCTGCCTTTATAAACATGAATTTACTAAGAGGTAATTCTCAACACACTTCTGAGCTACAAACAAATTTTACAGGCTGGATTTGTCTTTTAATATTAAAAGTGCATAATTTGGGCGCACCGCACAACACTACAGTGACACATTAGTGCTCAGATGCAGATGTTTCCTAGCATCAACAACTACTTTCTTCCTGAAGTTCAACTACTAAATTCATATTAAGATGCCAAAACCACATTGTTTTTCAAAGTGTTAAATGTATATGTATGTGAAAGTTTACTTTTTAATACCAGACTGTTTTATGCAAAAAAAAAAAAAATCTCAACTTTGTAACTAACAGTCTTTATCCATTAGCCACAATTCCAATGAGAATACAATCAAGGTTATTTCTAAATAGAAAGAAGTGGCAAACACTGATCTGCCTATGCAAAAGAAGATGTTTTTTTACTGTTCCTTCTGTTTTAAAGCCCAGAATGATACGCTGTTCTCTGCCAAAAATGATTTGCAGGGAGAGAAAATGAAACCTACAGGTCTTCCAAGTAACAACAGGCTAGAGGCAGAGATAAAAATATATTCACAATTTTTCAAGTCTCAGTACTAAACTCCTTCCGTGAGATTGTACTGCTTCTCTGCACATCTAATGTTAAACATCTAAATAGAAATTTAGGAGCCCAACTTTAGGTACTCTAGTTTTGAAACTTGGGGAAAGGCTAGAAAGGGAGGAGAAAAGAAGCAGCAGTGGTAGCTGCAGTCTTGAACAAAAGACAGAGTTTGCAGTTCGGCTTAAGAAATGGAAAAGATTCATGCCTCACCTAAACCTTTCATATGGCAATCATTTATGGGACAGAAGCCAGTTTTCCTCAGGAAAAGGAAACACAACAAAACCGACAGCTGTAAATGCAAACAATTGTTGGATTTTAAGAATTACACAAAGATCATACTCTGCTGGATACAAAATAAGATACACCTTTAAAACAAGACAAGCATTTTATTTTTGCTGATAAAAATGCACTGTGATGCATTTTATAAAGACATACAGATAGACTAATTTTAACCACTTCAGGAGTTTCAATGATCATCTTAAATACCTGCATATTACTCTTGCTATCATTAGAAAAATATCACTACAGATATAGTAAAGAGGAGCACTTGAGTCCTGGTCCCAAATACTTCCTAGGTAATAGAGGTAAAAGTATAAGACAGCTCCAATTGCACCTACAGTTTCAGAGGTGTTTCACTGCCATTCAAAAAGCCTAAAATGCAACATGTGTGTTTACACACGCACACACACAAACACACACACAGGAAGTATATATTGACACCTATATAATAAAAAGTATGATCACAGTTTTGTGAATTTGATACTATCAGAGCAACGACTCTGAGTTATGCAGGTCAAAGTGTTTGTATTAATAATAAAATACATGTATAACCTAATGATGTCATCCTGTTGCTATATTGTATTTCCAGACATGTGTAGGGTTGCAGTGCATTTAGAAGTATTGTACTGAAATGCTATCTGAATTGCATGCTGACTTAAAAAGAAAAAATTGCTACAAACATCCTCTCAGAATTTGTAAATGAATTCTGCTTCCATTTCAATGTCTACATTACATTTTGTAAAGAAGTTGGGGTTTGTGCGTGTGCGTGATCTGGTTACCTGTGACACATTTGGGAGATTTTACCTGTCCAACCAAGCCAGCAGACTTTTAGCTGCTCCAATCAGATCCACTACCGATGTCAGAAAATCATTCGGTAACTTGCGGCTCGTCCTTCCATCATAGTGACCACTCCTCCTCCTCCCAGTGATGAAGTTCTGCAGATTTTTCGCAGATGCATTCAGTTTGTGAGAAAGGGTTTTTAGATTTTCTGTTTCCAAACCATAGTTCTGCATTGAAGAAAAAGACAAAAAAAAGAAAGTTAGCATTGCAGCTGAACATGAAGTACCAAGAACAGCAAGACTGCTCTTCTGCTTCAAAACTTAACCAGTCCTAATAATTAAGGTAGAAATACACCCACTCATTAGTTTTTAAATGTATGGCATGTTCTGTTTCTAAAGTGCATAAAAATGGAACAAAAGAAGAGCAAAATTATGAGTGATCTCTTAGCTGGTGTTACGTGCACTGAGAGAAGCATCTCAAAATGAAGAAAAAACGTAGCCTGGAACACTGATTTCTCAAAGCAGTGCTTCACTCTCAGTTGATCTGATGGTTCTCTCAGTAGATCTGATGGTTAGGGATCAGTCCCTTGTGCCCGTACTCACACTGATTCCTAAGATCGTATTAGGCAAGAGGGCTTGCAACTAGCAGAAGTACGCAGTATGGACACAGTGTGACACCAAATTGCTTTTGTTGGTTTCAGTGAAGGAAGCATGCTCATTACCTTCTTTTTATTCCTGTTAGCAGTAAAGGACCACCAGAATCACAGACTAGAGAACACAGCGCTACTCTGCACAATGTCTGTGTTGCCCTTTTAAAGTCAAGTTGTAAATTTTGCTTCCATCTAAGAGTCAATCTCTTAAACTTAAATTACGTTCCTCAGCTGTGCAGCAGAGACAGAAATAATTATGCAGAAATATTAACAAACAGTACTTGAAAATCCTTCAAATACACAAATGTTGCTGAAACGGCACTAGAGAATGCCCTAATTTAATGTTCAATTACAATATAATATAGTACCGTCAGTGATTTGTTATTTCTATAATAGATCTGTTTTCCTCACAAATGCAAAGAGCAATAGAGTTATTTCAAAAGAGATCTTCTTTTGCCTTTGTAAAGGAATAAGCAATTGCATACACTTGAGCTTATTACTCCTGTAAGAGAAAGATGGGACTTCTGAAGGTGCTCCTCGCCTTAACCACATCACAGGGTTATAACAGGGGGTGCTCACAACTTTTTCAGTTGACAATGGAAAGGGCTACTTACTATCGAAGGTAGACCATTTCCTACCACAAATGGTGATGAAGTAGGATGTAGAAAGCCCCTCAGCTGCACACAGAAAAATCCACTTCCTAACGACACCTCCTGTCCTCACTAGCTCTCATCCCAGGGCCCCAGTTTGGTCCCCACACTAATCTGTCCATAAGGAGAAGAGATAGGAGAAGGGATATATTTGCCAATGCTAACTGAAGGCTGATGAAGCTTATTTACCTTAGTCTTTTTTCTATAGGAAACGGGGGGGGTGGGGTGGGGAACGGGACATGATTATTTACAGCAGTTGTCATGCTCCTAATCCAAACCATCTAATAAATGAACTTAATCTCCTCTTTAATTATACAGGGCCTGCAGGAAGATTACACTGAAGCCAGGTCCAGTAAGCCCCCAGCCCTTGCACAACGTCTACTCCCATCGCGGAAAGGAGTGACTCCAGCACACGGCTTGTCTTCTGTCTCCCAGTCAGACCCTCTTTGTGCTTGTAAACCAAACACACTTTGTGAGGGAGCCGCTGAAACGACAGCCATCTTTCCGCAGCAGAAGATGCACTCTGGGACTCGGCTTAAGGGGGAAGTGACTATAAGCTAAGGTTGCATTTTAAAAATCTCTGCTGTAACTTCTGAGAGCATCCGTATTTTGGGCAAGGAAGGCTTTGCGGGCATGTTTCTCAACTGCACAGTTTCTGCGTAGGCACCATCCTCCGCCACCACGTTCAGTTCCCAATTAGACAAATTGTATGTTTGGGCAGTGGACTTTTCCACCATGTAAATATTCGATAGCAATTATACAACAGATAGAGTTAGGTTATAAATAAAAAATTACAAGATGAAAACAATAAATTAGGATGGAAAAGTAAAACGTACTTTATTATGCAGCTAAATGGCTCATAACTAATAACTTATTAAATCAGTCCAAATTAAAGAGATAAACATCAGATAAAAATAAATTTGTTTTTGCTACGGTTTTCTGTGGTTGCTGTGGCTGAAAGAGCACGATGGAGATCGAGGACTCAGTAGGAACAAGCTGGGTGAAAAAACCCAGGTTCGTTCTTATTTCATCCTGCTTCATGAGCACCTAGCTCATTTTGGCAAAATTAACAGGGGAAGAAACAAATAAAAGATATTCTGGATGAAAGATACATCACACAAAATGTCTTACAGATCAGCCAAACCAAAACCCCACCACAAGCGAGCCTCACGACACCCGCACAACGTGGCGCTCACCTCCCCAAACCTGGGGGGAATGACCGCAAACCGCAGGCTGGCCACAGGGCTTCTCACAGGGTTTCCTTCTTTCTGACACACTGAAACGTTGAACTTCTTAATTCAGGGGGCTGTTACTAAGAAGTTGAGTGCGATTATCCAAATCCCACGCTTGCCTTCAAAGCACATGAGGTAAACGTGAGTTTCCTCGGCGGTCACCACACTGCACCTCCCAGCACCCTCAGCCCACGCGTCCCGCGTTCACCAGCGCTCCGACACACGACCTGCGCTTCACGCCTGACCTAGCCGAAAAGGCCTGGCTCCCTGCTGCACATGGCTGCCCCCCGCCCGCCCCCGCACTGAGCCGCTCCCGATGGCTGCCCCCCGCCCGCCCCAGCACTGAGCCGCTCCCGAGCCGTGGAGGAGACCTCATCCCTCAGCACCAAAACTCGTCGTCCTTCGTTAAGCCGGGGGTGTGCGCGGGGAAGGAGCTGGCCAGGCCCGGGGCACCCGCTCACCTCCCCAGCCAGTGCAGGGCCCACGGCCGGGGGCCCTCGCACTGAGGCCCAGGCTGGATCCAAACGCTCCTCCTCAACAACCCCATATTACTTCACCCCCCTCTCCTTCTCCATTCCCCCCGCTTTGTCACCTTGTCTGTACTTCATCCGCTTAGAGAGGCGGGTGCTGGGTCCCAGCCACCACAGCGGGAACCCTGACAGGCAGCCTACAAGCATCCAGTCCCACCAGAAAGTAAAACCTGCAACATTGAACACTGCAGACCAAGCAAAAAGATACCCAAAAATTTATTCTACGACAGGAAAATAGGGTGCATTTGTTTCATTTTTTTCTTCAGAAAATCAGCCCCTATAAAAGCTTAGTAGCCTCTTGTTAACATTTCAAGTGATGGCCACCTACAGATGTGCTCTTTTTCAGATGTCTTTTTTCACTGTCAGATATGTGGAAAGGAAGAGACAATGTTAACGGATACAAAGTCTATTTTCACACATACTCATCAAATGTGTATTTTCTTTAACATAAAAAACCCGAGGGACAAATGTAATGCCTAAGCTACATATAAAATCCAGTCTTACATGAGGAATGGCACTGATTTCGGTAAAGCCTCCACCTGTAATACGAGACAGATATAGCCAGGGATGGAAAATACGGAGATAAATTTCAGGCAGAATATATTTTTTGGGCAGCTGTGTTTATTGAAGCCTTCAAGTAGAAGGATCCTAAAACAGCAGCCAAGCTAATAAAATCCCCACTTTGTTTATCACTAATATTTCTGGCCCACATTAAAAATGAACAAAAAGTTGCATGTTCTAATATTGGGAAAAAAGCTTGCTCAAATAATAACTGCCAAGTTTAATCATACTTTATATGTGATAATATACTATTAACAATATGGTTTTCTTAGAAATACACTGCGTTTATTTTCAAGCAACGTAAGAAGATAATTGCAGGCAAAGGAGACAATTCTTTGTTTTCCCTTTCTCTGCATTTAGCCGGCACTAACACAAGTTATGCTTTCATTAGCCAAAATAAATTTACAGTCACTGAAAGAACCACAAAAAAATCTCTGCATGCTTGTAGAGATTATGAGAAGCGAAGCAAAGCTATGCATCCGCTTTCTCAACGAGAGGCCACAGAGCAAGATACTCTTCAGAGACACCCTGCCTCAACAGAAACGGCTCTAATGGAGTCTCTTCTGGCAATCACAAACCAAGAACTTGATGAAGCTAAGCTACACAGAGTAATAGCTTGTCAGCAGGTGTTCAAACTAAAGGTGGTGGGAACTATTAATAGACATTTTACCTGCTAATTACTTTTCTGTGGCTTCACATGACAGTGTGAGTGATGAATTGCAGCTCTTTTCTTCACATGCTGACAAGCAGCAGCTCTAATCACCACTGATTGACTTTTGCTTTTTTTTTTTTTGGGTGAGGGGAGCCAGCCTGACTCTGCTAGCCCACCCCTACACCAGCACCAGCACTACAGGGTAGGAAGAGAGTTTGGTAACCAAACTTTGGAATTAAAGTGAACTTTTTTTGGATTAGCTTGATCAATGTCCATTAAGTTGTTCATTGCCACCCCCAATTAAAAAAAAAAAAAAATTGGAGCTCATTTCATCTCTTCCCTGTGTTAAATTCACTTAACCCTTGCTGGCAGGGAAGTGTACCTCACACTGCTAGCACAGGTTAAAAAGTACAGTGTTCCTAACTCATATAGTGCTAACTATCCCTGCTGGCTCAGACAGGATGTCTAGAAGCTGCTGAGACCTTTCGTTTAGGGTATTTTGACACTGCCCATTGCAAGTGCAAAGACATCTCAGCTAACTAAAAAAGCCAAGCTCAGGTCCCAAAAGACATCCGGATCTAAACACACCGCAATATGCCATACAGACATAGCCACAGTCCCATTAAAAAATCCAGAAATCCCTTAGAACAGATGTCTTGATCACAAATTTTATGCAGCCATGAATGCCTCTACATCTCCAAGTACAAAGGCCACATTAAGTTCAAGGACATCATTTGACTCCTACAAACAATCCAAGATAGAGAAATGAGCATATGGCTCCTCTGCCTACCACCCTAAATAACTGTTTCTTCTCTATCAGCCCAGAAAGCTGCTGGAAACCATGTGGAGCAAAAGGCATGCAGCGACCAGTGCTAACTCTTACTGAAGAGACACAAGATGGGAAATGAAGATACTACTGTAACACTGGTGCTTGGGGCAAAAGGAAAAAAAAC